AAAGAGTGTGTTTATGTTGCAGAGGCCATTCTGTTTCTCAAGGTTAATCATCTCATTGTAAGTCATGTCACATTCACCCCTCCCTCCCTACCTCCCTCCACCACATTCTCTCCATGACTCTGCTCTCCCCTGATTTTCACTCCCCCTACCTGCCACCATCACTAGGTCTGTGGTTTTCAGTGTGGCTGCGCATGTGTACGAACTTCTGTGGGTTGGTGGTGGTGGTTTATAAGAGCGTGTGTGTGTGTGTGTGTGTGTGTGTGTATGGTGAATGCTAATGTGATTGGGTAATACACACACATATGCAGAGTCAAATGTGTTCTTGCACATGTACTTATACAGTACGACACTTCTCACCTTGAATATTATCATTTCCCACTTACACTGTATACAGCAACACTGTACATGGAAAAAATCATTCATGTTTGTGCACAATAATACGATAAAGTACATGCCTTCACCTTTCTCTCCTCCTCAGTTCTGGTTATTGTGTATTTGACAGTTGCACATTAATTGGTGGTACCTGTCACTTGCAATACAACTTGTCAACACTATCTGTGCCTCGCAGCTTGTCAGTCTCCCAGTATTCAAACTAAGGATGTAAGAACTGAAGAGCGAAGCGTCAGCCAAGTCACGTTTATCAGTCGCCTGAAATGAGTCATAAATCATATCTAAAGTGCTTTTGTGTGGAGCAATATATTCTTCATAGTTGAACCCCTTGGGCAGATGATAATGTATGTTTTTAAACGTAATTCTACTTTGTATGAATGCTTATGGGTTTTGTGTTTCTATTTTGCTCTTTGCGAACAAATTAAGTGTTTGATTAAATGTGTAGTGTCACAAAAAGCAAAAGACGAGTGATTACTAGGCAACTAGCTGAAAGAATATGTGGACTTATTAGCAATAGAGCAGGCAACTCCAACAAAAACTATACGGGACAAAAATGTCAGCTACAAAGACATAATCACTAAGGAGAGGGGGTTGCAGCAGTGGACATAAATAATCTGATTTGATTTAGAAAGAACATGGCCATTATACCTCAGAAACTAAATTGTCCCTGTCCTTTACTGTAAGTAGAAGATAACAAAACAAAATCTCCTATCATTTTTAGTACAATGGACTGAAGCACCACCAAAATCCCAGCCAGCCCAGTGTCTACAGTAAGTCTCCAGTTTGAGAGCTCTCATCCTCTGTTGAAGCTTCCCCTCAGACACCTTAACATAATCTGTGCCTTCGTGACACTACATTATCATAACTGAATAGAGATGGGTCAGAGCGGGTTGCCAGCCTCTCTTGTGTGCAGAGGCTACAGCAGCACTGACACACACTTGCCTTGTGTGCATGTGACTATACCTGCACAGGGGCGCTGACGTGTGTTTGTGACTTTACTTCCATCTGTTCATTCACAGTGTGCACGTGTGTGCGTATTTCCCTTCTCAACATTTTCCTCGTGCTCTGCAGCCAGTTGCAGTGGTAATGGCACATCATGCTGGCCCCTTTCCGACAGTTTGCTCCTGTCAAACATAGTTTCACCCTGACAGCTCCTCCATGCACTGGGACCGTCCATCACAAGCTGCAAACCTGTCAGACTTTCTCCACAGAGCAGCAGCTCGTCTCCTCCACCAAACTACTTTCTGCTCTTTCCATTTTCTCCTGATTTCCTGAGTTCTGGTTTGTATGTGATGCATAAGCACAGGAATGCAAATAAACATGAGCTTGGTCTCTCTTTCAACCAACCTAAAGCTCTACTTTGATGATGCAGGAAAAAGTAGGAAGGAGTGCACATTTGTTAGTTAAATTAGAGTTCAAGTACAACAGTGTAAAAATACCCCATGGCAAGGGAAAGTCCTGCATTCAAAATCTGATTGACATCTGTAAAGTACAGAAGTATTATCAACAAAATGTACTTAAAGGAAATGTTTATTATTGTTGTTGTTTGCTTGTTTGTTTCCTTGCTGACCATTAGCTTAGCTTAGCATAAAGAGTGGAAATAGGGAAAGTGTAGCCCGGCCGTGTCCGGAGGTAACCAAATGTGCCTTCCAGCACCTCTTAAGCTTATTAAATATATCCTGGGACATAGTATTAGCTTTCTTATCTAACTTTAAATAAGTCTTCTCCCAAGATGTTTATCAAAAGTAAAAGTACAGAAAAATACCTCTTGTGACTAATATATTAACATACTGTACAAAACATTTTTAGTAGTAACACGTCAATATTTAAACAGTATGTTAATGCTCTATAACTACTGCTTCATACACTGTACAGTTAGATTATTTTAAGATGGCCCCTCCAAAGAGGCACAAGGTAAATCTGAGGGGTCCTGAGATGACTAATGGGTTAGGAAAGAAAAAATCAAAGTTCAGCTTTGTTTTTATTTCTTTTCTCTAATCTCTGCTTTTTTTTTTAAATCTTGGAGACTTTCACCCAATTGGGCCTTTGACTGGTTAATTAAATGACACAGTTTGATAAGTTGGACCTGCTAATTACTCCTAGCCATCTGAAATTTGACATAGTACCAACCATTGTGGGTTTTGGGGGGGGGGACCACAAATCAAAAAGTTTTGGAATCACTAATTAAATCTTTATATGTTGTATTTAAGCTTGTAAAATGTTTTAGTGTAAAATCTTAACCTGCAGTGTAACTACAGCTGTCAAATAAATGTACTGGAGCAAAAAGTATAATATCTCCCTTCTTGCATATTTCAACAGAGATGAGAAATGTGAGCTAGAAACACTCAGCACTCATTTATTTGTATCTGTTGGAGCACTGAGACTGCCTTTGTTTGGTTTTTGCACAGCAATGCAGCCAGCTTCTTCTGCATCTAAATCTGTGCTTCTTTGCCTTGAGTATCAGATGATGCAGTGATGTTTTTATCCCCCTCTAGCTTGTTATGATCCATTGTGTCTGCTGTTTTGTTTGTACACTGCAGCATCTCTTCCAGCCTTGTCAGAGATGCTATGATGAGTGTATTTGAGCACAGATATCAATCTGTCAGGGTGTTCGTTAACTGAAACAGATGAAGAAATGCAGGAGAGAGTAAATATATCCTCTATGTATATGTGCTTATATGACTGAGTACATGCTTAGATAAGTGCAGCTGGGTCATGTTTATTCCTTTTTGCCCCAGTTGATACGCCCACAAATCCCCATCAGTTTAAATTGCATATAGATCAGAAAGAGCCAGCGAGGAGGGGGGAGGGGAGGCTGCATAGTTGTTTATTACAGCCTTTCTTCTATCTGGACGTAGATAGCAAAATGGTAGCTTGATGGCCACTGTTTCCATGGCAACTCTTTCAGAGCAACCTCTGCCCACAACATCTCAAAAGATCAGAGACGTTATTTTTAAAGTAACATAAGACAAGATGATGGTGTCTAAAGCTTGAGGGGGGAAATCTTGAATTCTCATATAAAAGCAGCCACACGGTTGCACATAGAAAGAGGATGTGGCTCTGCAGGAACAGACCAGTTCGTATGAACTGTAGAGACTGAAAGTGAATCTCTGGTTAATTTTTACACACTGTACCTAAATCAGATTATTTTAACTGTGTTGTCTCAACTTGAAAAGTCTTTTTTAAAACCAGTGACACATAAATCTTCACACACTTTGAATCGTGCTCTCTTTACAGCATTCCTTGAAATTGCTTTATTGGCATGATAACAAATATACCACGTTTTTACACTTGTTGGACTCAAGCGGCACAAAGTGATAACTGTATTTTCGAAAGAACAAACTTGCTCTTGGCCAGTTTGTTCTTTTACATTGACCAGGTGAAGATGTGGAAAGTGGGAGTATGTTTAGTCAGTGACACAAAAGATTCATCCATGAGCGGTTCCTCCATTGTTTTGTCTGGATGAAGAACTTGCTTGCTTGCTGCTTTTTGTCAGACAGTTCTGTTTTTGGATCTACAGGTCCGCTTTAACATCTGCTGCAGGCTGAGATTTCTTGTGAGAGTCCATGGGGGAAATCTGTGCTGTCTAGGACATGTGTTGTGCTAGGGTATGCATATTTTAATATAACCTTGAATTAATAATCAACACAAGCTTTCCTTCTTAGAAATACATCATTCTGAATGCTGGCAATTAGTGCTTAATGGAGCCTATAGATACAAGTTAATTTACTGTTTGTCTCTGTTTGTTCTTGTGTGGGCGTCACCAAAGGTTGGCACCTGTCCCATCTTGTACCGTGTGGAAGTCAAGCGAGGTCATCAGGCCTTTACTGTTATCATTAGGTGTTGAACGTGAAGGGAAACAAGCACATTACCCTTCACATGAGTGATTAGAGTGGATCACAAGCTGCAGGCGGGCATAACACCCAGGAAAGGTTTCTGTATGGTGGTCACAGACAAGAAGGTGACACAGTTTATATCCACAAGACTGATATTCAAGGATCCAGTAACATTTTTATACAAGTTTGACTTAATGGACACAAGAAAGAATTTTGTGTTTCTTGACCTGGAGAACAGCGGTTCATGAAACAAATTCAGCACATGTTCTAGATTGTTGCCAGCAGATCATTTGATGTTTTATCTTTGTCTGAATTATCAGATATTTTTATTTTTAGTTAATTTTTTTTACTTATTTATCATTTTTATACTTATTTACTTAAGTAATAATAACATAAGTATAAGACAGATACCGGATCCTTGAATTCTGTAGCTGTTCTGGAGCTTCTAATCATCTCACATAATTTACCTCAGCAGATGG